CAAACCGGACACTGTGGCCCGTGCCTATAATCGCAGTGACTCAAGCGGCTTGATGCACGAGGATCCCAAGTCCCAGGCCAGCCTTAGCAATTTAGTGAGACCCTCAGCAACTTAGCAAGACCCTATCTCAAAATAAAAACTAAAAAGGTCTGGGGTTATAGCTCAGCGGTAAAGCACCCCTGGGTTCATTCAATCTCCAGCATGGCCACCACAATAATAATAATTTGAGTAAACAAAGGGTTTCTTATAAGTTTGGGGAAAACTTGCAAAGTGTCTAATTAAAACTTTCAACTCATGCTGGGCTTACAAAGAAATATATTCGCCACCAAAAACTATTTACAAGAGCTTTGCTAGCTGCTGCAATTCATAATGCCTGCACCTGTACTGTTAGGTACTTAATAAATACAAAATCGGTTGATGATGATTAACTATGACTCTCCCCCTCTCGGGCATTAACATTGTTTGTGAAATGGGTCTAACATAGCTTTACTTGGAAGACAGCAGTCACAGCAATTCTTCATCAGATGCAGTACTTGATTTACGACACTGGGGCCCTAACTTGGGCGGGAATAGAGCGAGCAATTTCATACCCAGAAAAACCGGATAAGGAGCCTATTGATACCTGAGTCTCTCAATCGAGCGAGTTCCTGTCGACGCTTCTTCCTTTTCTCCTTCTTCAGGGCGGCCCTGTACTTTTTGTGACTGGAAGATCGAAAAATAAACACAACAATGTTAGCAGCCGCACCCGCAGCGCTGCACGAGATCCTCTCTTCCCGGCGCCCACTTACAGGAGACCGCTCGGATGCTTGGGAGAGAAATCGCACTTCCAGTGTTTTTGAACATGTAACTACTATTACCTCATCCCTCCACACCCAAATAGCAGTTTTTCTCCAATTTGCTACTTGTTCTCCTCCTCGCTTCCCTAAGCCCATGGACGACGGTTGACAGCCAGGGAAAGGGTTAGGGTCCAAACGAGCGCGGTGGGCCCAGCTCCCTTTTCCTTCCAGCTTGCTCAACCTCTATGACAGCTTTGGCCAACTCCGTGCCTTTTTCTCTCCAGCCCATCTCCTCAAGCGGAGCTTACCTAGGTTTCTCGGGAACCATCGCCTCGGACGCTGCCATTTTACCGGCGCGTCCCACCCCCAAGATTTGACCGGAAGAGGAGGGATTAAGAATGGAGAAGGCGAGCGCAGGCGTCGGTGCCGCGCGGCATCAGCCCGGGCGGGACCAAAGACCAAAGGCAGGAGGTTTCTTTTTGTGACTGGTTTGCCAAAACCCTGCCTAAATAAATGTCTCTTTCCCGAAACCTCTGGAGCACTCATTCCGCCCAGGAAATAATCATTTTCTTCTCAGCGCTTCGATACATCTTAGTGGGAGTGTGGAGGCCAGGAGGTTAAAGCCGAACCTCCCCCCCAACCCCGTTTTCTCATTCACTCACGAATTCTCATTCTCCCCAGAACTGCTAGCCCGGCTTCCCTTAGAATTTCTCCAGGCTCCGCCTCCTTCCGCGGCTCCACCTATCAGCGCCTCAGCAAGGCTTTAGACTCCACCCCCTTCCATTTACTCCGCTGGGCTCCTGTAATGGGAGCTAACTCAGGGGTTGCAAAATCGTAAACTGTGTACCCAAGGAGTTTACAATTTGAGGTGCAGAGAAGGATCGTTACATAGAAAAGTTAATATGTTGCCGGCAAAGATGAAGTTTAATTAAAATAGTCCACCTGGGAATTCAGAGACTTTAGTGATGCTTGTGTTGATACTGTTTTTTGTTTTGTTTGTTTTGTTATTGTGATTTGTTTTGTTGTACTCGGTGGTATTCAACCTAGGGGTGCTTTACCACTGAGCTTTACCACTGATTGAACCAGCCTATTTGGGGGTTTTTTGTTTGTTTTTTAAGACAGGGTCTCACTAAATTGCTAGGACCTCGCTAATTTTTCCAAGGAACATGGCTTTTATCCAGGTGGAGAAGGGCAAGAACAAGGTTGCAGGCAGATGATTATAAGCAAAGGTATGAAGAGGTGAAACGAATGTTCTGGGAACGGCGAGAATTTCATTTATGGAATTTCAGCCCCAAATAAATAGTGTCAAGGAATGCAGCCGTAGAGGTAAGCTGGGCCTAGCTTATGGATGAAGGCTAAAATAATGTTCTGTAAACAACAGGGAACTATCTCTTTTAAGTAGAGGACTGTTGTAGTGGTATTTGTGTTTTAAGCAAATTACGGTGGTTTGCGATATAAAGGATTAAAAGATAAAACTGCAGCCAGTCAGGGTGGAACAAGCCTGTAGTTCCAGCTACTTGAGAGGCTGAGGCAGGAGGATCGCTGGAGCCCAGAGTTCAATTCCAATCTGGACAACAAAGTAGGGAGACCCCCTCCCACTCTCAAACATATGAACATAAAATTGAAATACAGTATCACATAATCTAGGAGAGGGATGATGAAACTAAACTGGATGGATGAGATTAGAGACTGAGAGAGTAAAACAGCCCTGCTAGCAATAAGACTGTGATGTACACATACAAGGCCAGGAACAAGGACAAGGAAAAAACTTTTCTTCCTAGTATACATTAATGACCACAGTCTTTTGATTGAGTCAGTAATTTTCCTGGCTTAGCTTTGTTTTTCTCCTCTCCAAATTACATTATTGATATACCTTCCCCAGTTGGTGGAGCATATCTGTAATCCCAGCATCTGGGGAGGCTGAGGCAGAAAGATCACAAGTTTGAGACCAACCTCAGCAACTGAGTGAGGCTGTCTTTAAAAAAAATAAAAAGGTCTTGGGGTCGTAACTCAATGGTAAGTACCTATGAGTTCAGTCCCCAGTACCCCTCTCCCCCCAAAATTACAGACATACCCACTTACTAAACTGCCCTCACTTCCTCCAATCTCTTCTTAGAATCTTTCAGCTGAAGACCAAGCCCTGCATAAACGTCACCCTTTACAATCTGAGCAACTCAATGCCCCCTTCACCTCCAGGTTGACCTTTCCAACTCAGTGCCTCAATAATTAGAGACATAGGCTTTGTGGGGTTTTGTTTTTTTGTTTTTGTTTTGGTACAGGAGATTGAACCCTGAGGCATTTTACCACTGAACTATAATCCCCAGTCCTTTCATTTTATTTACTATTTTTATTTTTATTTTTTTGAGACAAGGTCTGGCTAAGTTGCTGAGGATCTCACTAAGTGGCCAAAGCTGGCCTAGAACTTGTGTTCCCTCTGCCTCAGCCTCCCAAATCACTGGGATTATGGATATGCAACACCAAGCTCCATGGAGACATAGGCTTTAGAGTTGAATGGGCCAGGAAACTTAAGCTTTGACCATCTTTGGTCTCAAATAAATTCCTTAATGTCTACTCCTCAACTTTTTCATCTGTAGAAATCAAGATAATAATGTTATTTCCCATCTTATATAGCTTTTATTGTGATCATTGGATAACATATACTATTTATGAGCAGTGCCTGGCAACAGTATCCCCCAAAACTTTAGCTGTCATAGCATCATCACCACCACTATCATCACCATCATCAGTATGAAAGCTTCCTGACCCTGGCCCCTCAAGAATAGATTAGGTACTTGCCGTGAGTACACTCCCAGCAAAAATATTTCACTTTTATAATACCTATCACAGTGTACTGGACTTTGTGTCTTCTTTTATATTTCTTGCACTAAATCTTAAACATTTTGAAGCTGTGGTTGGCCATTATATCCTCAAGCTAGAGAATACCCTGAGATGCATAGAATATTGTAGTTATGTAAGTCATCAATTTTCTGGTCCTTATAGGACTTATGCTGAGAGTTTCTGCCATTCTGGAAGCACCATTCTGGAACACCGATGCTTCCAGAATGGGTTGCTGTAACATTGAATCAGATCAGACTTTTACTTTAGAACAATAAGTAAGAATATCCTCTGGGAAGATATTCCTAATTAAAAAAGATACAGATGTAGGTTCTGTTTTATTATGATTTATAAGTGAATGTAAATTTCCTTTTATAGGAGTTTGACATTTATTTTCAACAGTTAACCACTGAATTCATTTTCATGAACAAGCTTGAATTGCTCAAGTTAATTTCATTACAGAAGGAACTCTAAAAGCCAATTATATTTCCAAACTATAATTATCATCGTTTGAATTCAATAAGTAAAGACATCTTCCTTTACTTTTGAGGAACAGCTGCCTGGTTTTAGAAGAACCAACTTTACCATAACCCCCATGCAAGACAGTTGTCCAGGTGACTTCAAACTAACCCAGTTCCAACTTTCTCACTTGTAGATCTCCAGAATAAGTGTTGAATATTCTGGGAACACAATGAATATCCTGAGATATGGAGAAACAACCCAGACCTTGTTCATGCCCTTCCTTGGGAATATACCAGCTTGAGGTAGGGAGGAACTAGTCTTAGACATGCCAGATTTTGTTCCACTCTCCTCTGGAAATGGAATGTCTTTTGAAACTTTGCCCAGTGGGTCCTGTGGCCCCTGGGTTATATACCTGGGGTGGACTGCTTTTTGGGGTCCCTCACATTGTGATGCAAGTGGGGCCATGTAGTCAAGCCTCCATCTACCCTGTGGTGGCTTTTTCAAGCCTCAAGTCATGGGGGACCAGCTCATAAATGATCCTAGGCTTCTTTTGTCCCTTGATGCCTATCTATAAGTAGTGCATCTGCTTCATATAACTTGCTCTCTGCCACTGTGTTCTGTTTCACTGAACCCTGACAAATGGGTGCCCAGCACACATTGAACCTGCTCCACACCATGTACCCTGGGAAAGAAGAAAGGGGCTGGCAGCTTGCCCTGTGTGGTGATGTCAGCAAAGTGTGCACTGGACTGTGCACAGAAAAGAGGTGAACTGTGCAAAATTAGCTGGTTCTTCACATTACTGCTCCTCTAGTAAATCCCTTATGAATTTTCCAGTTGCTAGCTGATCTACACGTTAAAGAGTGTCTTGCTAATTTTACAAACATCTTATATGCCAAAACATATGAAAGAAAAGTCATTAAATAAGCATTAATGTTGTAAAAAGATTATTTAATGAAGATGAGGAGCAATTTTAATACAAAACTCTTTCTCAAGACCTTTGACAGATCTTAGGCCCACTTCCCATCTTTATATTTAGGAAGGTATCACTTTTGAAGTCATAAAAGACATAGTTTCTTGCCAGGGGATCTGTAATGGCCCTTAGAGAATCATATGACAAAGATAAGATGGAAGAGACCATAATCTCAAAGCAATTTCCATAACTTCTGTACAGAAGGTGACTGAGAATTTATCATGTAAACCAGAGTATGGTTGAGAGGGAAAGGGGGTGCCATTATAATTACACCAGAACACCAGGTATAAGAAAATCAGGAGTTGGAAACCAGAATACACAGTCATCTTATAAATGAATCCTTTTTACCTGTGAGACATAAGGGCAAGACAGTCATTCTGTACCTTGATTCCTGCTCCAAAATGGCAGATTTAACACAATAGAGTTTTGCACTAAGTGTTTGTAAGAGGTTAGGAGGAAAGTCTGTGTACCCTGGAAGATGCATAGCTTATGTTTACCTTTTGAAAGGTGTCTAAGGCAGTTTTCCTTCACTCTGACAAAATACCTGAAAAAAAAAATCAACTTCAAGGAGAAAAGATAGACTCTGGCTCCCAATTTCAGAAGTTTTAGTCCATGGCCAACTGGGTCCATGGAGTTTAGGCCTGTGGCCTGGCAGACCATGATGGCAGGGAACACATAGGAGAGCAAAGCTGCTCGCTTCATGGCAGCCAGAGAGCAGAGAGAGAGCTCACTTATAACAAAGCTCCTCCCCTCAAGCTCATGAAGCTTTCCATCCATCCATTGATGAGGTCACAGCCTTCACCTCTCAAAGGCCCCACCTCTGAACACTGCTGAATTAGGGACCAAGCCTTCAACATGGGGGGGGGGATTTCAGATCCAAACCATAACAAAAGGTAACTACTATAGTTTGAAATAGATGAACTACATAAAGCTAACTTTTTTTTTATACCACGTTCATCTTTATTTTTCTTCTTCTTGCCGTGCTGGGGATTGAACCCAGGGCATGTGCCAGGCAAGCATTCTATCACTGAGACACATCCTCAACCTTCCATGTTTATCTTTTTAAGAATTTTATGCATTTTTCTAAGACAACATGCAAAAGCCTTCACCACCCCTCTTTGCTTAGAGAAGAGATACCCTTCCAACTTGAATATATAATTCCAATTCTATCCATTTTTTCCTACTGAATTTATTTTTTTACTTCTAACTGGTTAAATACATATAAAATTTACCATCTTAAGCATTTTAAAAATTTATCATCTTGAGCATTTTTAAGTGTCCAGTACAGTAGTATTACTTATATTCACATTCAACATATCTCTAAAAACTCTTTTATCTTGTATCACTGAAACTCTATATCCACTATGCATAAATTCCTAACCTCTCTCCCCATAGCTCTTTTTTAAAAATACTTTTTTAGTTGTAGATGAACACAATATCTTTATTTATTTATTTTTATGTGGTGCTGAGGATTGAACCCAGTGCCTCACACATGCTAGGTGAGCACTCTACCACCGAGCCACAACCCCAGCCACCCGCCATAGCTCTTGGCAACCACCTTTTTTACTTTCTGTTTCTATGATTTTGATGAGTTTAGATACTTCATATGAGTGGAATCATGCAGTATCTTTCTGTGACTAGCTTATTTCACTTGGCATAATGTCTTCAGGGTTCAGCCACATTACATATGTGACAAGATTTTTTTCTTTTAAAGGTAATATCCCATTTTATGTATTTACCTCATTTTCTTTATTGATTCATTTGTTGATGGACATTTAGGTTGCTTCCACCTCTTGGTTATTGTGAATAATGCTGCTGTGAATATGGGAGTGCAGTTTTTTCTCTGGGATCCTGGTTTGAATTCTTTGGGATATATATACGTAGGGGTGGGGTTGCTGGATCTCATGGTAATTCCATCGGTTACCTTTTCACATTGTTGAATGCTTTCTTTGACAAGCAGACATTTTTAATTTTGGTATAATCCCAGTTCCATCTTAACCATCTTTAAGTGTACAGTTGAATAATGGTAGTGTATATTCATCCAACCTTGTCTTACAAACTAGATGACGAGCATACTAATGAAACACTTCTAGTTTTTGATACAGCGTTGCATCTGAAAACAACCTTAGTGGCAACTGGAAACATTCTAAGATATTTATAAGCAAGAGCAACAGTGGCATGGATTCTTCAGACTATGGAGAATTATCCAGATTTTATATTTTAGCCCTCTTCCAAAAGTCTTCCAAACAACTGTATAAATTGGGACATTTAAGTTGATCACATGTCTTGCAAAAAACCTTAACTAATAAGTAAATAAAGTTCATAAAGTTTTTTATTTGATTTTTGTAATGCTAATGTATAAGGGACTCACAAATGCAAGGTAGGCACTCCACTGCTGAGCTATATCACTAGACTAAGTTCAGATACTTTTTTTTACAGTGGTGGGGATTGAACCCAGGGCCTTATGCATGCAAGGCAAGTACTCTACTAACTGAGCTATATTGCCAACCCTAAGTTTGAATACTTTTAAGGGAAGCTTTAAAAGAAGATAGCTCTATCATTGGGAAAATATCATAATCTATGTAATGGTGTATAAATATTGCAAAATAATACTATTTGCATTTGAAGATTATTTCTGTAAGTGTTCCATGAAAGAATTCTAAGTTATATGCACTTTAAGCATTTTTCTTTACAATGTTCTGCAGTGCTTTCTATGAGATCAAACAATTAAGTAAAACATCTAGTCTTCAGAAATGTAAAGGATTCTAGATATTGTTTAATACAATGATAATAAGTAAGTACATCATTTACTACTAATAACAAATAAAAATAAAGGCAAACACACTCACTGAGAAACCATAATGAAAGAATATTTTCATTTTAAAATAAAGTAGACCTAAAACCATGGCATTGTTCAGGCAGTAATTCTGCCTTAATTCTTTCACACAAAAAATTGTAACTTAAAGTCACCCCGTATTAACTAATCAGTTGTTTTTCTATTGTTCTGTTTCCCTGTCCCTGCCTTGCTAGGATAGTGACTTTGAAATGCTAAAAAAAGAAAGAAATATATATTTAAAGATATTATTAAATGAAGGTACTTAAAATAGTCTAGTTAACAATTTTCTAAAGCTAATATGTATTAAAGCAAAATATTGCCTAGATATGAACATCTTAGGGAGTCATTTGGCTGGCAATTGTCTTGGGGTTCTTTTGTATATTCAGCACGTAATCATGGCGGAAGGATGATCGGACAGTACGATTCATCAAGGGCTGAAGGGGGCGAAAGTTGTCCACCATTCTTTTCTCTTTCTCTCCCTCAGAAGTGAAAAGCAAGGTCCGAAATTGCTCAAGCTGAAAAAAAACATTTTGAAAAAGGACAAATAAATTTAGTAGAAATCCAGCTTTGTCTCGTGAATAAATAACTTTCATTTTTCTAATTCTAAAACATTTTGTCTCAAACTGGATTCAGAAGCAGAAGTTATTTCTAAGTAAGATACCTTCACCCTCCACAAGGAATAAAATACTATGTTTTGCCATCCTTATGTGAGAAGGTGATGAAACCAGCCATGCACTTTGAATCAGAAGACTGAGGACAAAGGCCCTGTCGCCCATATTAACCACTTATCAAAGATGAGTTACTTTATCTCTTTGATTCTCAAGAACTTAATATTTAATTGAGCAAAACAGTCAGCCAAATAATAAAGAAAGGCCTGATACATACAGTAACAGCATAAAAGTATGTTTTTTAAAAATTTACCAAATCATTAACATAAAATTGTGTAATTGATTGCTCACTGCACTTTGTATTGTGAGCAAAGAAATAACACATTGAGGTCTTGTGAGATGCTTCATACTGGTGCTGTCCAATAGAACTTTTTCTAATGGTAAAAATATCCTCTGCATGGTCCATCCTGGTAACCACAAGACACATATGGCTACTGAGCACTTGAAATGTGACCAGGTGACCAGTGTGAGAAACTGAATTTTTTATTTAAGTTGATTCATATTTAAATATAAGTGGCCATATGTGGCTAGTAGCTATTATGTTGGATAGTATAGCTCAATACAGAAGCAGCAACCCAAAATATTAAGGCAATATGTTGTTCTTTGATGTGGCAATAGCCCCTTGTCTTTCTTAGCAACCATGTTATAGCATACTACTTCAAGCTAGCCAGAAAATCTGTTCAGTCAATCTGGCCCATTGTGGCTACATAGAATAACCTGGGTCACAGTAAGTAAGCATGTAAAAATTTGTTTGGAGGGCTGGGGGTGTAGCTCAGTGGTAGAGCACTTGTCGAGCAAGCACAAGGTCCAACAAAAAGAAAAAGAAAAAAGAGAATTTAGTTTGTTGAAGTAAAGACTTCAGACCAAATAAAACTGAAGAAGTAGGACATGATCAGAAGCAAGTACCAACAGAGTGGTTGTACTTGCAAATTACACATATGCCTTAGGAAATTAGGAAGCTGTACAAGTAGTTAATGTTAATTTTTTATTCAGCTAATTGAAAAAGATTAGAAACAACCCAAGTACCATAAAGTAGGTAATAAAAAGTGACATGAGATCAATAAAATGGGCTAGTATATACCCATTAAAATTATATAGAAGATAATGGTTATTATCTATAAAATGTTCTGCACATCACTGAGCAAAAAGACAAGTAAAATGGTATGCACAGAATGATTCTGTTACAAAAATTACATATATTTATATAAATAAAAGACCTGCAGGATTTCCCCCAAACAATGAATAACACTGAATGGTAGGATTCCAGGTTACTAGGATTAGTTGACAGGAAATGGTTTTTTAACTGAATTTCCTGTGTTGAGATTTTATTTGAAAATTCCTTACATGGGCTACTGACCTTCTGATTTATTTATTTTTTTAACTTTTTAGTGTTATGAAAATTATAAATATGAAGATTAGTAGCAGAAAATGTGTAAACCACAAAGCCTAGGCTTATGGGCAACCAAAATCTGTTATTTGTCATTTATTTATGGTGGTTTTTATATTACAGAATTTTAAAAAAATACGCAGTCTCAGTTACTAGCTGTTTTCTTTTGGACTTCTTGTTTTGTATTATAATTAGATAAAGCTTCTTTCATATGAAGGTATGAAAGGATTTTCCTATGCTTATTCTAGGATTTTTATGATGGTATTTTTTGCATTTAATAGTTTGAATGCTGGATCCAACTTTTTTTCCCCAGTCATTTGACTCCTCAGTTGTTCCTTAGTAGCACTTACTGAATGTTGTATCATTTCCCCTCACTGAGCTGAGATGCTACCTTTATCCTAAAATAAATTCTCATATGTATTTGGATATAATTTTGAACTTACTGTTTTATTCCTGTGATGTCTAATTTTATGTGCCAACTTGATTGGGCCAGGGATGCCCAGATAGCTAGTTAAACACTATTTCTGGATATGTCTGTGGGAGTGTTTTCTAAAGAAATTAAGATTTGAATTGGTGGACTGAGCGAAGCAGATAGCCTTTCCAATGTGGATGGACATCATTTAATCCACTGAGGACCTGAATAGAACAAAAAGGCATAAGGCTGAATTTGCTCTGTGACTATTTTTTTTTTTTTAAACTGAGACATCAATCTTATGCCTTTTGGAGCTCCTGATTCTCAGTCTCCAGACCAGGACTGGAATCTATACCATTGGCTTATCAGGTCTCAGGTCTCTGGGCTACCCTACCAGCTTTCCTGGGACTCTCAGCCTTTATAATCGCATGAGAAAATATCTTATAAATAAATCTCTATCTCCATCTCTCTGATGGTTAATCTTGGTTGTTAACTTGATGGATTGAGAGATGCCTTGAAATTGTTAAAGCACACTCTGTGTGAATCTATGAGGGTGTTTTCAGAAATGATTGGCATGTGGGTCAGAGAACTGAGGGGGGAAGACCTACCTTGAATGTGGGTGCACCATTCAATAGACTGGGGGTCCCAGACAGAACAAAAAGCAGTAGAAGGGGATGCTCATAAGCTCACATTTGTGCAAGCTCCATTCTCCTACAGTGGATGTAGTTTCTGATGCTGCCATTGCTGTGAATATGGCTCCAGATTTTTCAAGTTTTGAACATGGACTTATACTAATGACTTTCCAGGGAGCTCCCAGGCCTTCAGCCTCAGATTGAGGCTGCATCATTGTTCCTTCTGGTTCTGAGACTTCCAATTTCTTAGACTGAGTAGTTACTGATTTCCTCAGTTTTCCAGCCTGCATCCAGCTTCTGATCATGTAAGCCAATCTAATAAATCTCCTCTTATATATACATTCTATTCTGTTCTTCTAGAGGACCCCAATACTAATTCATCCTCCCCACCATTGGTTCTGTTTCTCTGCAGATTCCTAGCACACTTACTTCACTTAATTGTTCTTTTTATTCATGCATCAGTACTATAGTATTTAATTTTTGAGTCTTTATAATTTTGTGAATGTAATAATTCCTCATTTTCTCTTTTAGAATTTTCTCTGGTTATTTATACTTATCTGTTTTTACTTGAATTTAGAAGTAACATCCCTATTTAAAATTTTATTGGTATAGGGACTGGGACTGGGGCTCAGTGGTAGAGAGCATTTGCCTAGCACATGTGAGGCACTGGGTTTGATCTTCAGCATCACATAAAAATAAATAAATAATACAAAGATATTGTGTCCATCTACAACTAAAATTTTTATTGGTATATTTATTGAGACTATGTTAAGTTTATGGAGAATAAACAATTCATGAAGAATAACAACTTCAGGAGAATAGATAGCAAAGGTGTTTTTAACGATATCTTCCTATCCGATAATATAGAGTGAATTTTACTAACTCATCTTCTTTGTGTCCTGCAGGAATATTTTAAGTTTTCTTATTGAATTCTCTTCTTAAACTTATTGCAAAGTATTTTATATTTTAAAATAATTTAAACATTATTTTATAATGTTTCTATTATAAATAGGGTTCTTTCTTCCATTATATCTTTTAACTGATTGTGATTTACATATTTCAAATGTTTTTTATCTATATAAATTAATATGGTAGGGGCTGGGGTTGTGGCTCAGTGGTAGAGCATTCACCTACTATGCATAAGGCACTGGGTTCAATACTCAGTACCACACAGGGTAAAAATGGGAGTTCATAATCTGCTTGAATCAAATGTATGAAATATGACATGTCAAGAGCTTTGTAATGTTTTGAACAACTAATAATAAAAAATAAATAAAATAAAATAAAAGTATTGTGTCCATCTATAACTTAAAAAAATGTAAAAAAAATTAATATTGTACTCCAGTAATCACCAAATTAACTTGTTTTTTGTAGCATATTTTATTGTTTCTCCTATTTTTTAAAATTTTCTCATCTAATTGTATTAGCTACTTCTAGAACATTTTTTTTTTTTAAGAGACAAGGTCTTGCTTTGTTTCCCATAGCTGGCCCAAAATTCCTGGGCTCAAGAGATTCCCCTGCCTAAGCCTTAGGTAGGTCAACAGACACACACCACTAAACCCTGCTAATTCCAGAATATAATTTAATATAAAATTTAATATTGGAATAATCCTCTCTATATTAAACATACTATAGTTGGTCCTCTGAATTCATGGATTCCACATTTGTGGATTCTTCCAACTGTGGATCAAAAGTATTGGGGGGAAAAATTGCACCTGTCCTGATCATGTACAGACTTTTTTCTTGTCATTATTCCCTAAACAATACATTATAACAACCATGTACATAGGATATACATTGTAGTATGAGTAATCTAGAGATGATTAAAGTATACAAGATGATGTATGTAGGTCACATGCAAATATTATGCCATTCCATGTAAGGGCTTGAGCATCTGTAGATTTTGGTATCCGTGGGGAGTCTTAATCCTCTGCAGATACCAAGTGACAACTGTATTTACTTTTCTTTCTTTTGTTTTCTTTTTGTTCCTTCAGTGCTGGAGATGAAACCCAGGGCCTCACTTATATTAGGTAAATGTTCTATCACTGAACCACATCCCTAGCTCTGTTCAAATTTACTTTTAAACTGAGATCAGTCTCTTTTATCATATTAAGTAAGTCTCTATTCATTTCTATTTTATTAGAAATTATTTAAAACTGTCAGGTGGAGTGGGCTAGGATTGAGGCTCAGTGGTAGAACACTTGTCTAGCATGTGTGAGGCACTGGGTTCAATTCTCAGCACTTTATACAAATAAATAAAATAAAGGTCCATCAACAACTAAAAAGATATTTAAAAAAAAACTGCCAACTACAGTGGCATATGCCTGTAATCCCAGTTATTTGGGAAGCTCAGGCAGGAGGATTGCACGTTCAAGGCCAGCCTGGGCAACTTAGTCAGACCCTGTTTCAAAATAAGTATAAAAGGCCAGGGATATAGCTCAGTGGTAGAGCATCCCTGGGCTCAATCTGAAGTAATGCAGAATAAATAAATACTGAATAGAAAAATTTACAAATGTCTATTAAGAATCTATAGAACCCAGGTGTGGTGGAGCATGCCTGTAGTCCCAGCAACTGGAGAGGCTAAGACAGGAGGACCGCAAATTCAAGGCCAGTCTCAGCAACTAAGTGAGGCCCTAAGCAACTTAGAGAGACCCTGTTTCTAAATAAAAAAATAAAAAGGGCTGGGGATACAGCTCAGTGGTAAAGTACCTCTGGGTTCAATCCCCAGTACAAAAAAATAAAAAAAGAATCTATGGAAATAACATGACTTTTAAACATTAGATTCACTGATATAATGAATTATATTAATATCATTCACAATGAATCATTCTTCCTACATTACTACAATATACACGACTTGGACAAAGTATATAGTTCTTCTAATGTATTGATAGATTTTTATTTTGGATTCTATTTCTAATATTTTAGGGCTTTTTTGTTTGTTTGTTGTTTTTTAGCTTGTGTGTTCTTCAGAGATACCAATTCAGAGTTTACTCTTGAGGAAGGGTCCAATTTTCAATGGATGTTAATATTGGTAATTCTGACTTCATAAAAAAAGAGTTTAGAAGGCTTTGTTTTTTGTGAAAATGGTTTATAGTCAATTTTTTAAAATCCCATAAAGCAATTATGAGCAAATACTATTTTACTTTAGTTATATTATGAATTAAACAGGATTCTGTTTATTGACATAGTAGCCACCACTCAAACTTATTTTCTAGGGAAAAAATTAATCCCAGGTTTAAAACAAGTAACTTACATTAAAATTCTTGGACAGTCATTGTTAGATTCTTTTTATCTTGCGATTCTATTGCAAAATTCCCTTAAGAATTTTAAAGATCTTTGAATATATCTCATTGCCAGCCTCCATTCTTCCTTTTAAATGGGTCTTGAATTTATATAGAGATTCATGCTCTATATAAAATGCACAATGTATAAAACATAGGTAATTGTTAAATACAGAAGCAAGCAGCTTATGTTCTTCCTTGTTTGAACTCTTCTTTCAAATTAATCTGAAGCATTTCCTAAATCATATCCAAATTAAGATACGGTATTAAAACTGTCAAAGTTTGAACCCAACCTTTTTTTTTTTTTAGACAGGCAGACTAGGGTCTCCACAGATGGAAAATGTGAAAACCACATACCTGATCATGATCAACCTCTACTGGCTGCTTCTTAATGATCCAGGTGACAGACTCAGAGAGGGGCGGGGTAGTCAGAGACCCGGAGTATGTCCAGTAATCTGGGCAGACAGGCATCATGCAGGAAGGGTCAAATGACCCAAATTCCACAAGGGTGTCCTGGCCATGAGAAGAAGTTACCCAGCTATTATTCAGTAGTAAAAACCACTCAGGAATTAGAAAACCACTGAGGCAATGATTCTCAGGGGGTCTGGGGACCAGCAGTGGTCCAAGGGAGCTCCAGGCACCCTGGGCAGCTTTCTGCTTAACACAGAATCATGTCCAGGCTTTGTTTCCACAATCAACTGTGTATTTCTGATATTTCTTAGTGGGAGAACAGTCAAAACCATTGTCTCCCTCAATTTTGATGAGCCTATAGCAGGTGGTCCCCTCTGTTATTGGGAGATCTTAGGTAGTGACTGCTGCATAAACAAGGAGACTTCTCCTATTCAAGACAGACTCATGCAGTTTAAATCAGGAGGAGCCAGAATCCTGGACTGAGGAGAGAGGGAAAGAGAGAGAGGGGATGGAAAGGGGGAGAGATGGAAAATGAGGGAGGGAAAGAGGAGAAGAGAGGAATGATAAACAGACTTCCAGGGAGCAGATCTTTGGGGTGCTGAATGTGGAGGACTTCATCTTGGGGACTGGACAAGGGACAAGGATAATTGTTCTTTACAGCAAGACAAATCAAGTCTCTAAAGGACTTTTCTTGCTCCTTCCCTGTGGATGTGACTATAGAAAAGAAGACTGCTCTGGGTGTTTTTACAAGGACTCTCAAGGAGTTGGTATCAAGAACAAAGGAGGGGAAAGTAGTATGTTCATAAGTCCAGAGTCCCAAGCAGCATGGCAGCAAGACTAGAGAGCTCAGTGCCCATCAATGCAGTCATGTCTGTGCCCTGCAGTGGGACCCAGGGCCGGGGGCTCTTAACACAAGCATCATAAATGCCAAGTTCCCTACCTCGGCAGTGTTGAACACAGGTCACCTAATTACACTTCCTGGTACAAAGGGCCTATTAATGTCTCCACTCTGAGATTGGAAAATAAAGTATATTTCAAGTGAGCTAGAAAAAAATATTACCTTATGCTTAATTGATGGCAAAGTATCCACCAACTTCTGTAGCTCTTTATGATGTTTGCCTAGCTAAAGAACAAAGACAAAAATATTAATAACAACAGACATCTCGCTGTAGAAACTGTAACAGAATGGAAATTAAAATTAACCACCTGATGATTACATATAAATAAACCACAGGACTGAAACTAGACTTAAGCTGATAATTGAGAATGTTATAAACATCACTGAATTCAATTAGATACAAAACAAATGAGTAGGCTGTTTGCTGAAAGGCCAGGTGCCTGCAGGGAAAGGTGCCTCCAGGCCCTATTAAGTATCAGATCTTACATTAAAATTTAAATTAATTAAAATTAGAAATTATTCTGCACTTGCACTAACTACATTTCAAGGGTTCAATTGACACAGATGGCTTGTGATTCTAGTACTGTGCACTTTTATATCATTTGAAACATATTCATAATAACCTTGTGTTTTAAGCATTGTTTATTTTACCAGACTATTGACCCTAATACTCTTAAAATAAATAACTTATATTGTAATGTTCTAACTTTTTAAATTTTTTTGATTTTTAAAATATTTTGAGTTGTAGATGTTATTTATTTATTTTTATGTGTTACTGAGTTTCAAACCCAGTACCTCACACATACTAGGCAAGAGCTCTACCAGTGAGCCCTCTTTTTTATTTTTGGTTACTGAGATTCAACCCAGAAGTGCTTAACCACTGATCCGCACCAAAGCCCTTTTAATTTATTTTATTTTTTAGTGGGGGGTACTAGGGATTGAGCTCAGGAGCAGTCAACCACTGAGCCACATCCGTAGCCTTATTTTGTATTTTATTTAGAGACAGGGTCTCGGTGAGTTGCTTAGCACCTCAATTTTTTTGCTGAGGCTGGCTTTAAACTTGTGATCCTCTTACCTCAGCCTCCAGAGTTTTTGGGATTACAGGTATGCACCACAGTGCCCAGTTATTTTTAAATTTTATTATTATTATTATTATTATTATTTTAGTACTGGCCACTTAACCACTGAGCCACATTCCCAGCCCTTTTTTAATATTTTTTATTTAGAAACAGGGTATTCCTAAGTTGCTTAAGGCCTCGCTAAGTTGCTGAGGCTAGCTTTGAAATTGTTATCCTCTTTCCTCAGCCTCCAGAGCTATTGGGATTACAGGCATGCACTACAGTGCCCGGCTATCTTTGCATTTCTTGGGTACAAGAAGACATCATTTAAAGTTAATAAGTTTTTTTTTTGATGTGTTTATTACCTTTAAAAATACTCCTATCACAGCCAAACCATTTTCTTCCAGCGCAGCATCCTCGAAGGTTTCAAACTTGACTGCATTCCAATGTACCAAGTGCAGCTGGAACATCGTTAAAAGTGAGTTTAACATATAACCCTACAGGATCATTCCCAAATAAACTGACAGCCTCTTTCAACATACACATTTAATCATGTTTCTTCATCCTAAATAAAGCTACTGAGAAAAGCATATGACAATTGTGTATAAAATGAGATATTGAAAACAGGGAAAATTTAGGCAAGAACAATTAATATCACTTTGGAAGAGAAAGATTTATTAATGGAGAAAAATAGATTCACATAGCAAAGTACCATTTTAGTAAGGAATCAACATTTGTTCATTCCCATCTTGATTTGCATGAAATACTAATATCTAAAATCTATTTGCATCTAAGGGAGAGAAGCTGTTTATATACTAACAGAAAGAGATCCTCCCTATGGAAATTAGATAGGAGTTGAAGACAGATTTCTTCTTGGCAGGATAACCATTTGCAATGTGTTTTCTTTTTTCTTTGGGGTGGGGATGGGGGGGGCCGATACTGAGGATTGAACACTCAGGGCCTTGTGCACGCGAGGCAAGCACTCTACCAACTGAGCTATATCCCCAGCCCATGTTTTCATTTTTAACATAACATTTCAAACAGAATTAGGGGGAAAGTTGTAAGAAGAAATTCAATTTCCTTATGCTCTCTTTATATTTTCTTATAAATCATTCCTCATCTATCATTCATGAATATGACTGCATTATCACCCAGCCTCCAAATGAGACACCTCAAGGTCAGAGTTAACTTTGTCATCTTTTCTCCTGAAGAGGATCCCATAAACATCCAGGTCCTAGTACTTTTATTTCAGAAATGTTCAATAAATTTTTTTCTTTCTATTTCTATTGTGATAGACTTCATTTAGGCCCCACATTTCTCATTTGGGTTAATTCAACCTGTGGCTGTGCATTGTTTCCTGGATTAGTACTTTATGCAATAGTTTGAACCTAGTTTAGAATTCTGGAAGAATTCAGTTTCAGGATTTGTTTGTTTATTTTGGTTTGTGGTACAGGAAATTGAACCCAGAGGCACTCTACCACTGAGCTAATCCTCAGTCCTATTTATTTATTTATTTATTTATTTTGGTGCTGGAGATTGAACCCAGTGCCTCTTTACCACTGAGCTACATTCCCAACACTTTTTATTTTTTATTTTGAGACAGGGTCTCACTAAATTGCTGAGGCTGACCTCATACTTGTGATTCCCCTGCCTCAGACTCCCAACTCACTGGAATTACAGAATGCACCTGTGTGCCCGGCTCATCTTTTTATTGTTTATTTTTAAATAGGATCTCAATTAATTGCTGAGGGTATTGCTAAATTGCCCAGGCTGGCCTTGAACTCACAATCCTCCTGCCTCAGCCTACCAAGTAGCTGGGATTACAGGTGTGTGATACTATGTCAGACAGTTTCAGAATATTAAGGTTCATTTCAACCATTTTATTTCAGATGTATGTAATTTTTACATGTCTAGGCTAGAAATAATCAAATATGCCCCTGATTGAGTTATGTAGTATTTATAGGAACAACCTCATTTTTTCCTCTAACTTCTTAGAAGTAGAAATGTTAGAACTACCCCCACTTCTCCACAGTTGTCCCAGTTCCTGACCTTCTCAACATACCTCTGCTGGGTAGCATTTGCTGTCTACCGTGTGCTCAGAGCCCCAGGCATCAATTGCCCCCCAGTGAAAATGGAACTGCTTCAGTCTGTAGATGTGTTCTAGGGGTCCTCCTTCAATCACTGAAATAGAACATACAACAATTCAGGGGATAGTTATTTACACTGTGGGGAAAAGGCTGAACCTGCAGGTGGACCATCTTTGTGAACTGTCTGAAATGGAGTACACCATATTATATACAAGTATTTATAACTTGATTTCCATGCAGTCAATACATGTATAAGGGCAAGATCAAATGGCATTAAGATTTAACCAGCAAAGCTACATGCAACTGTTAAGGCCAATTTTTGACTTATTTCTATATACTATAGTTTCTGTGATGCACAATAAAATGTAAGTTTCTCTTAGCATATTTATTCAATCCAATCTGATAAAACAAATACAGTGACAAAAGATACTCTCTTTTTATGCAGTAACAATTTGCTTTTTAACTTTTGGAGATATTAATATTTCTTTTCCTTTCACAGAAATGAAATAGGAAATTTACAAGTCAAAAAAGATTGCCTAGGGGGCTGGCCAGGGCTATGGCTCAGTGGTGGAGTGCTTGCCTAGCATGTGTGAGGCACTGGGTTCAATCCTCAGCACCCCATAAAAATCAATAAAGGTATTGTGTCCATCTACAACTAAAAAAATATTTTAAAAAGTGATTGCCCAGGAGATGTTGGCCATAGAGTACACAGTTTCAGTGAAATAGGAGGAACAAGTTCTCAAGATCTATTTCACAGTGTGGTTACCACAGTTAATAATAATGTATTGTGTATTTCAAAATTTCTAAAAGTAAATTTTAAAATGTTCTCATTACAAAAAAAAAAAAAAAAGAGTAAGTGGAGCTGGGGGTAGAGCACTTGCCCAGTACATGTGAAGTACAGGGTTCAATCCTCAGTACCACATTAAAAAAATAAATAAATAAAATAAAGGTATTATGTCCATCTACAACTAAAAAAAAAAAAAGGAGTAAGTATGTGAAGTGATGGATATGTTAATTAGCTTGATATAACATCACACAATGTATACATATATCAAAACATCACATGTGGCCTATAGTGGTACATGCCTATAATCCTAGGTACATGGGAGGCTGATGTAGGAGGATCACAAGTTGGAGATCAGCCTGGGCAAGTTAGCTATACCCTATCTTAAAATAACAAAAGGCTGGGAATGTAGCTCAGTGGTAGAGAGCTTGCTTAGCATGTCATGTGCAAGGCTCTGGGTTCAATCCCCAGCAACACCCACACACACACACACACACACACACACAAATAGCATCACACTGTACCTCATAAATACACATAACTATTGTCAATTAAAAAACACAAAAATTATCATTCATCTTCCTTTGAAGAGAGTGAACAATGTGAACCATTTATACACTTTACTGCAGCCTTTATGGGGTTGAATAATTAATATGCCAAACAAGACTACTTTTCTGGAACTGGTAAAATCAATACAGTATAGAGAAAATAAATATTCAGAAAAAGTAAGCTGTTAAAGTCACCTTAGACTTTGAGTCATGCTGATTTTTCCCCCTTGAATTTTCTAATGCATATTAGTTCCTCATTTCCTCTCTCTGACCAGACCCTGGCAATATCTGTACAGTCAAACCAATATAGCATCATTAAAATCATCCATCCTATTCATCTTAATGATCCTCAGTTGAATTTTATGTACACAAATGATTAAGTACAGAAATCCCAAGGCCTAAATAACACTGAAATGAAATGGTCTGCTATGTACCTTACTGACTTTGAAAAATTCTTACATAATTTCCTCTAAAAATCAGTTTTGTAAGAGGCGAATGAAGACACCAATGACGACTTCTTTTTAGGGGGCAGGAGAGATGCAGAGAATAATACCACATGATTCACTAGGTAATAGAAGAATAGTACTAAAATTAAATGAAGTCAAAATAAAATATCTTTCAAAAAAAATCTTACTTTTCTACACGAACTCCAAATAGAATGATTTTGGCAAATACTGAATCCAATCTGTTGAACAAAATTGAAGTTCTGGTCTCAGGTTAAGGGCCAGCTCTCCTCTCCTGTCCCTAGAACAATCCTGACAACATCTTCTAGATCCTTACTGTGTGTCTCCTCCAAAGATGATAAACAGGGCAAAGAGAAGATGTCACCAACAGGTGGCTGAGGGACAGAATTGGTCTTCTGGTGAGTTTTGATTCACCTACATAGTGTTGGTGGTGCACAAGCTACTAAACAAATTTTAAAATTAGTTGCCAACATTTAATGCTGGCCAATCTAGGTTTCCAACTTCATTTATGAGAATTAAATGCCATGGCCATGGTGGGAACATGATCCCTCAGGGCTACAGGGTTGGCAGAGAAAATGGATACCCCCTTAAGTAGGCCACCAGTTGTTCACCATGGTCACCTCTGCCATTTCCCTCATTCCCAGTCTCACTCATTCTCATTCCCTCCCTGGACTGTAGGTACAACTGCATTTGTGATCCCTGGGAGATAAAAGGTTAGTTAGTGGTTCAGCATCTGACTTTGGCACTTGCTACCTGGAAAAGTTAAGTCCCTACCATGTGCTGGGTATCATACCTATATAAATTCTACTAGGGGAGAGATGAGACAGTGTAGTATTCTTCTGTGGAATGTGGTTAAGAGCACACACTTTGTAGGAAAAAAACCTGTTTCAGTGAATTGGCTATGTGTCATTTGCCACATGTGCCAGCAGCTTCTAACTCAATGCCCAGTGATCCCCATTCCCTGGTATTCACAACCTTATATAATCTCCTTCCCTGGATGTGACCTGGACCTCAGACTTGCTTCCTACAGGCAAAAGTAAGAGGATGTCTCTTTTGAGGATGAGCTTTCAAAAAAGACTGGCTTCTTTTCTGCTTGCCCTCTCTGACCTTCCCCCATTTGCTTGCTTGTCCTATGGAGAAGCCTGTAAAGTAAGGAAATGAGGGTGGCCTTCAGCCATCAGCCACCCAGGAATGGAGGTTCTGAAAGAAACAGAACCAAGCTAACAGGCACCTGAGTAAGTTTGCAAGAGGATCCTTTGCCGGAGAAGCCTTGAGATAAGATCCTAACCAAAACTGATAACTTGATCACAGCCCTATGAGAAACTCAGAGCCAGAACACCCAGATAAATTGCGCCCAGATTCCCACTCTATGAGCATGGTCTACAAAATTCACCATGAATCAGCTCTTGCCTGCCTCTGGCCCTGCTCTCTGTCACCTCCTTCTTACACATTAAATCACAGTAACACCTAAGACAAGGATCACATCACCTCTCACTTCTACCTCCATGTAGATCACCCAGATGTCATCTCTATCAAGAACCTTTCTCCCCAGACTCATGTGTACACCTCCGCCATAGCACTTAGCACTTTGCAATGGCATCATCTCTCCTACGGTCTGTCTCCTCATCACACTTATAAGCTCCTTAAAGGCAGGGTCCATCACCTCTTCCTCTTTCTATTCTGAGTACAGTGTCTGGCACTTAGTAGATTCACAATAAAACCAGGAACTAAAGAAATAGACTGTCAAGTGGCTGTCACTGGTAACTGAGATATCACTGGTAACCTCAATAAATGGGAAGGGAAAGGGTGGGGTTGGGTATAGCAGATGAGTGGAAGAGGGAAAGTATTATCACCTGGAGTAGGACAGAGAAGAAAGAAGATAGTAAATCAGAGAGGAAAACAAGACAGGTGGGGTGGTGCACACCTGTAATACCAGCAACCTGGGAGGCTGAGGCAGAAGGATTGCAAGTTAGAGGCCAGTCTAGGCAATTTATCGAGAGGCCCTGTCTCAAAATTAAAAAGAAAAGGCTGGGCATGTGGTAGAGCACCTCTGGGTTCAATCCCCAGTACCAAAAAAAAAAAAAAAAAAAAAAAAAAAGAAAAAAAGAAAGAAAGAAAGAAAAAGAAGAGAACAGTCAAACAACGTAGCAAATGTGTATTTGACATTGGTATTTTGTTATTTCTGTGCTCTAAGATGAGAAACAATTAAACTTATAAAGAATTTTAGGTAACAAAAATAAAACATCTGGGGTCTGGGGTTGTGGCTCAGTGGTAGAGTGCTCGCTTAGGACCTGAGTCCGATCCTCAGCACTGCATAAAAATGTAAACAAAAAAAAAATAAATAAAAAGGTATTGTGTCCAACTACAACTAAAAAATTGATATTTTTTAAAAATAATAAAATAAAATATATAACATGGAGCATGTTATGTAAAATTATAATGCATCAATAAAAAGTATGGGGAAAAAAATAACATGGAGTCTGGCTCCCAGCAAGCAATCTCTATAATATTCACTCCCTTCTTTTGCATTTCAATGTGCAAGTCAAGGAGCTAGCAGACATGATCAAGAGAAAGGGAACACACAGAACCCATACAAATAAAAGCAAAAGGCTGGGCATTTACCCTTGGAATCCCAACAGCTCCGGAGGCTGAGGCAGGAGGCTTGCAGGTTCAAAGTCAGCCTCAGAAATTAGTGATGCTATAAGCAATCTAGTGAGACTCTGTCTCAAAATAAAAAAATAAAATAAAAAGGATTGTGGATGTGACTCAGTGGTTAAATGCCCTTGAGTTCAATCCCTGGTACTAAAAAAAAAAAAAAAAAAAAGACAAACAACAACAAAAATGAGTAAGTGCAGGAAGTGGGCATGAAAACTCTTTAGGGGTGATGAAAACATTCTAAAATTGGATTGTAATGATGTTTGCTCAACTCTGTAAATTTACCAAAAAAATTATATTTTTAAGTAAATATAGAACCAAAAATGAGGCAGGAGAACTTAAAATTTTTATGAAAGCATTCTTACTAGGTTCACTGCCTGCCTATGATCCCCTATAAAAGCATGGAGTGAAGCAGGTTGAAACAGGAAACACCCTTAGGAGGAGAACAAAGGGACTCTCCTCTCCTCTCCTTCTATTTAATGCCTTTTGACTGTCAATAAAAGGAATTTCAGGAAAAGTGATAATTTACAGGGTCAACCATGTTAGCCTAGGGATAGTTTATTGCCCTTCCCTATAATATTTTCTTATTTCTCACATGCACTTATTAAAATCAGTAATTGTGTCCTATTCTGGGGAACCAGATAACAAAACAATAACCAGAAGAGAGTGACATGAGACATGCACATACCTTATTAGAAATCTGTTAATATCTCTAAGAGAGATTGTGTTGTTTCCACTTTCATTCCAGATTTTAGTTATTCGAGTCTTCTTTCTTTCTCTCTCTCTCCTGTTTTTTCTTTGATCCACCTAACTAAAGGTTTGTCAACTCTGTAGATCTTTCCAAAGAACCAACTTTCAATTTAATCGATTTCTGCTCTATTCTTAATTATTATTTCCTTCTTCATTGCTTTGGATTTAGTTTGCTCTTCTCTTTATAGTTTCTTAAGATGGAAAGCTAGGTTACTGATTTGAGAAATTTCTTCTTCTCTGTTACATGCATTTTCATCTATAAATTTCCCTCGAAGCACTGCTTTAGCCGCATTCCATAAGGTTTGTTATAAAGCTTTTGTTACAAACCTTTCCTGACTCCTTTTCCTTCACTTTATTCCAGATTTATAAAGCACGCAGTAGTAGCACATTTCTTAGGGTTGGTTTGTTGGTTTTTGTTGGTTTTTTGAAACTCATAGACATTGATATTTGTTAGATTCTTCCTTTTCTAGAATTGTTCCTTCCTTCTCTTCATTTCTAGGATGTCTTTGCTTTCTTTTTTAATTTTTATATTTTTCTTGTTCTCCCCACCCCTGACTATTGATTGTTTTGCAACTGCATGGAGAAATAGTAGTGAAGAAAAAGCAGGAAATAAGAGGCAGTCACTGAAAGGAAAAAAGAGATGGAGAAAGGCACTTACTGTTGTCCTATAGAAAATAATTATTAAAGCATAATAAAATGGGGCTATCAGTTTTAGTTCATTCAGGCCAAACAAGTAAAAAATTATCAAACTCTCTACAATTTTTCTTATACATTTTGTAAAAAAAAAAATTTTTAATGAAATTGATTTCATGTAGGGAAGGTAGGATCAAGAGAAGACTAAGGTTTTAAAAAGACTATTATGATGAAAACATTTGTTATCCATTAGAAATTTTTCATGCAAATGGATGGATAAGAATCCTTAAATCAATTGGGTGCAGTATACCTATAATTCCAGCTACTCAGAAGGCTGAGACAAGAGGATCCCAAATTCAAGACCAGCCTGAGAAACTTAGTGAGATCCTGTCTCAAAATAAAATAAAAAGTGCTGTAGTTCAGTGCTAGAGTGCTTGCCTTGCATGCATGAAGCCCACACACACAGAAAATAATCTTAAATCTATTATTCAAAAGAAAAAGAGACTGAAAAATAAAACAAACAGCTGTTTACCTAGAAAGCTCTCAAGAAACCCATTAAACAACTTCCTAAGATTTCTAACTCGGTGTAGCAATGGTATATTGGCAATACAAGGTCCCTAAACTATCAAGGGCTTTAAAAGCTGAACAACACCTAGGATCCTCAGAAGAAAAGAAAGAAGATTATCACGGACCTAGACAGGTCTGAGACTTAAAGGAACTACTATGCATACAGAATGAATGTATGAGAGTTGGTGCTCCATAGTTGGGTCTATCCATTTGTTTTAGTCAGCAATTTTGCTGCTGTTACTAAAAGACCTGAGCAGCACAATTGTAGAGGAGGAAAAGTTTATTTGAGGGCCCACAGTTTTTAGTCCATAGAAGGCTGGCTCCATTCCTCAGGGCTCGAAGAGAGGCAAAACGTCATGGCTGAAGAGTGTGGTAGAGGAAGCAGCTCACATGATGATCAGTATGCAGAGAGAGAGAGAGACTCCACTCACCAGATACAAATATACAGAGCCACGCCCCCAATGACCCACCTCCTACAGCCACACCACACCCTGCCCACCTTCAGTTACCACTCAGTTAATCCCATCAGGGGATTAATTCACTGATTGGGATAAGGCTCTCACAACCCAATCATTTCTCCTCTGAACCTTCTTGCATTGCCTCACACATGGCTTTTGGTGGATACCTCACATCCAAACTACAACACAATTAGTTTAGGTCTGGCAGGGGTAATGTTAAGAGTTCCAAGGGAAACAAGTCAAGCTTCCCAGAGTACAGAATAGTCATCTGGAACATGGAAATTTAGCTTGCTGCTTTGAGGATTTCTGGAATTCTTATACACAGGATAATATTATAGGTTTCTAGTTAAGATGGGGGCACAATCCAGTGTTTTGGAAAAATTAAGAAAGAAGCCCATGAGTCTAGGGGAAAAATGAGCAATTCTTCTTAGTTTGAGATATGGAAGTAAGGTACTCAGAGTTTTGGTACCATGTAATACCATGGAGAAAAAGCAGAAAATGGGGATGTGGAGACACCTAAGCCTTTAAGGACAGACTAGGGATGTAGCTCAGAGGTAGAATTCTTGTCTAGCATGCACAAGGCCCTGGGTTTGATCACTAGCACCACAATCTGACAATTTAAATATTATTAATAATATTACTATTTCGTGTAATAGTTCATGTAAAGTCAGCAAGCAGAAAAAAAAAGTACATATTCAATATGCACAAACCAAATAAACTTCTGGTAGAGTTTCATTTTCACATCCTCTTTTCTATAGCAATTATATATATATTTAGTAATAAAAATGTTACTTATACTAATCAAAGAAAATTTGAATAAAAACTAGAAGGAAGTTTTTTATACATTTAAAAAATAATATCAATGAGTTCCTTTGCTAACAAAGAAGTCAACACTGTCACAGAAACAGTGTGATGTGTCTGATGTTGATATCACACTCTTGTTTTATCTGTAAATAGAACCACCAGAACTTGTTCTTACCTGATTTGTCTGTAGAATCTTCAAATTCTACAAGGAAAGAGTACCCATTATTCCAGATGTGGAGGCAGGTAGCCGGGTCATAAGAGATGGTGAGAGGTTTTAAGCCAGGATCATAAACACTGTCCTTCCACCGGATATTGATGGGTGACTGACGATCACCCCCAGGAAGCAGGTCCACACTCTCCCAGAGTGGATGCACTAGGAGAGAGCAGGGTGGGACCATTAGCAAGAGTAGGAGGCAGTCCCACTTGGGGAGAATCGACACAGGCCAATGGCAACTGGAAGTCTTTGGAATTAGCGACTCAGAGCCTCAACTGCCTAAAGCAGAGGATAAAGGCAGACCAGAGAGCACCTTGCATGGGTTCATGTCTGCCATCTTGAAAAGCCAACATGTCCCAGTCTGCCTACTAATGTCCCCTGAACTCAGTGCTGTCAAGTCCTGTCACAACAGCAAAATGATTAGTGCCAGCTGCAAATGGGGTTTTCACAAGTGAATTTCTTTGTTTCATGGCTTATGTCCCAAGCCCCCAACTGGCTTTAAACACAAAGTCAAGTCAATTTAATTTCCAGTGATAGACTTCATTTTGAGCCAAGGGAATGGGGGAAGAATTTTGGAAAGCAAACTTTCATCGAGTGCAGCGTCTTCAGCTGGGTGGCTAGGGTAAACTGCTGACATGCGCAGTGGGCACGCTGAGCTCACCCCTGTGCCAGCCATCAGGCAGCCGTCCTGCAAGGCCAGGGCGAATATCAACATTGCCCAGGTCTCTCAAGTTCCCGGTCTGTCACTCAAATGTGGACATCATCTATTATGGTGTGTACACATGGTTTGTCCCCCACAGCCACTGACAATGTGACCGATGCTGACTCTTTCCCACAGAATCAAGCCCCAGGGCTTTGCAGCAATAAATATCAGTGGACTTCCTGCTGACAGAGACCTATTGAGACACCCACATGTGATGAATGGAACCCTCATCTAGTGGTTTGGGATGGTCCAGTTCCCAGCCTTGTAGAAGCATCGTGGATGGGTAGAACCAAAACCAACTGGAAATGTGAATGGACAGAAGTCATTGCCAATGGCCCCTGCATCTTGCCCCACCACTAAGAATGAGTAAGGATTGGAGTGGTGGGGTAAGATTCGGGTAAGGATTACTCGAATTTGAATAAGGATTCTTTAATATTTTGAGAAACAGGTAGATCTAATCATGAGATCCCAAGAGCTATTTGGGTAAACCAGTTTGCCTGGTAGGGAGCTTTCTAGGTAAACAGCTGTTTGTTTTATTTTCTGTGTGTGTGGCATATGGATCAAACTCAGGGCTTCATACATGCAAGGCAAGCACTCTAGCACTGAACTACAGCAGTTTTTATTTTATTTTGAGACAGGATCTCACTAAGTTTCTCAGGCTGGTCTTGAATTTGGGATCTTCCTGTCTCAGCCATTTGCATGAAGGGGAAAGAATTGACTTTGAGAACCTGCAAGAATTCTTTAATATTTTGAGAAACAGGTAGATCTAATCATGAGATCCCAGGAGCTATTTGGGTAAACCAGTTTGCCTGGTAGAGAGATGATGGGTGTGAGGTAAGAGTGGACAACCGGGCATTGACTCTGGTTTTTCTCTATCAGTAAAATAACCATTTAGGGGCTGGGGCTGTAACTCAGTGGTAGAGCACTTGCCTAGCATGTGTGAGGCACTGGGTTTGATCCTTAGTACTGCATATAAATAAATAAATATCCATTGACAACGTAAAAAATTTTTTTTTAAAAAATATCATTTTTAAAAAGTTGTAAAATATGACTATTTAGTGCCTCCTCTGTGCCTAGTACCAGGTTTAGCCCTGGAAGCTACAGAAAAAGTGCAGGACATGGGCCCCATAGGCTCGGGGTTGACACAGGCCCTTTGAGCAGATAAAGCAAACACACATTACATGAGGGATTCTGGATGCTAAATGGTGTGAGTGAATGCAGTGTGAGTTTTAAAAAGCAAAGAATAGAGTGGCTGGAGAAAGTGTCATCCCAAGGAGAAGATATGCAGTGGAAGATCTCCTAAGTGGTAAGGAGAATAAAGGTATCTAAGCACAAGCAAAAAGAGCTCAGTCTGTGCAGGTGGCAGTTGTAATAATTGTGGCACAGTCAAGGGTGGTGGCTTGATAAGAAAAGCAGCATGGCAGACAAGACCTTGGGAAGGAGGAGGAGGAGGAATGGGATAAGTGAGAGAAGCTTGAATAGGAGCACCCTTGGACACAAGTTACAGGTTGATGTACAGTTGTTAGCATGAATGCAACACGGCAAAGCTGATGGTTTAGGGAAACTGCTGAGTGTCAGAACACAGGATCCAGGGGTTGAGGGAGGAGAGAGATACCCCCAAGAGGCTTCATATGAAGTCTGGGGTTTAGGGGCCTCAACTTGGGTAGTGGTTATGGGCAAGGCAAGGAAGAAATGACCTGAAAGATTCTTCAAGAAGAAATAATATGGTGATCAGTGGGGTAAGAGGAAATAAAGCAAGGAGAATCAAACTGCCTTAGTGTGTTTAAGCTGCTATACAAAAATACCTTAGCCTGGGTGACTGATTGAAACGGTGGATTGAACCTGGGGTGCTTTCCCACTGAGTACATCCTTAACCCTTTTTATTTTTTATTTTGAGATAGGGTCTTGCTAAGTTGCTGAAGCTGGCCTTCAACTTGTGATCCTTCTGATTCAATCTTCCAAATCACTGGAATTATAGTCATGGGCTACCATGCCATCTCAGCTATGAGATTTTTTTTTTTTTTGGTACTGAGAATTGAATCTAGGGGTGCTTAATCACTGAGTCACATCCCCAGACCTTTTTTATATTTTATTTAGAGACAGGGTCTCAGAGAGTTGCTTAATACCTCGCTGTTGCTAAGGCTGGCTTTGAACTTGTGATCCTCCCACATCCCTCGGCCTTCTAAACTGCTGGGATTATAGGCATGCACCACTGTGCCTGGCTATGAGGTTCTTAATGACAGTGTTATTTTGCTCACTTAAGCCATGGTTGATACAATCACTATCTTTGTTTATTTCATTTTTTTCTACATAAGAAAAACTTGAAAATAAAGCCTGTGTTAGAATACAAAACAGCTTCCTATTTTGAGGGAAAATATGAGCAACTACCAGGAAATTATTTCAATCTGCTTTTTGTTTAAGTGGAGGAAGAGAAAGGGGAGGGAAGAACAAAAATGTGAGTTTATCTTTAGAAAAACAAACCCTTGGCAATGCTGGCTTCAATAAGGGGACAGTGACTAAGTCCCTCCACTTCCAATGGGGGATGGTCTAGGGTAATAAAAAGAAGAGGTGGTCACAGGAAGGAAATTCCACTGGGAGCTGAACTTGTAAACCAAAAGTCATAAATTGATGGCATTATGTTCATAAAAGGGCAGTGAAGGAATGAACCCAGTTTTCTTGTGTTAGTTAGTTCTCTGGGGTGTGAGAGTTGATGATTTCCATTTCTTGGATGAAGTGGCCTACAATTAAGGATGACCAAGGACATCATTTTAGGGACCTGATCACTATTCCAGTTCTTCCATTGTCTTCAGAGGAGATCCTCATGAACTGGCTTTAAAGAGTTTGAATTCTCTAATTCTCATATCTGAGCATCTTAGAGGTAAAGATCTGTGGTCTGTTTGTTTCAGGAATCTTTGAAACTGAATCAGGGCTGTTAAGATTTTCCAGGATATTAAAAAGATAGGGCAGAGGGGTGAGAGGGAAGGGAAGGAGTATGAGGTTATTAATGATGGTGGAATGTGGTGGACATTATTCCAAAGTACATGTATAAAGACACGAATTGGTGTGATTATACTTTGTATACAACCAGAGATATGAAAAATTGTGCCCTATATGTGTAATAAGAGTTGTAATGCATTCTGCTGTCATATCTAAATAAAAATATTAATAAAAAATTTATTTGCATGTAAAAAAACATGCAAAGTATTATTATATGTTTTGCATGCTGAAGCATGGTCCTATGGAGATTACTCTTTTAAAAGAGAAGAAAATTTAGTCTAAAGGAATTAAATGATTAGTTCATCAGTAAAAGCCCTTTAGTGTATTCATATCAAAGACATCAAATGGACCATAGATGCATGGAGGGTTAATCAGGAAGGACTTGAGTCTGATGTCCTTAAGTGACAACAGAGGTTTGCCTGTGTAAGAACTAGAGTAATAGCAATGACCAATGTACTTTTAAAATTACATAAGCAGACAGGATTGCTTCATTTGAAAATAATAATACAGGACAAATGTGTCTCTCCTGCATAGTTAGAACAGAATAATACCAAACATTTCCAAAGTAATTCAGAAGAGATGTATTAGTGTTATTGTAGCCATTTTTTTTCCTTAAAAAAACTGAAGTTTAAAGTAAGCTCTAGAAGAAAAGATTATTGATAATGATGCTTCAGACACTTAAAATAATAGACCACGATAAAACAACTATCTCAGCTCCTGCCAAAACATTCTCACTTCTTTGTGGTCAAACTTATCTACCCTGACCACTTCAACCAACAGTTTTAAAACATAATTATGGGTTAAATAAATATTTTTTCAAACAATTAATATGAGAAATTTATCAAATTGAATATTTTTTTTTCTAATAGAACACATTGTATGATAAAAGAGCTAAACCAGAATCTTCTCCATTCTGTGTGGTATGGAGCCATTGCATGCCCATGTCCTTTGCAAAGTTATCTTGGCAGTTAATAATCATTTATTCTCCATGTGATTTAGCAGACAGCTTGTCAACTTTCATGAAAAATCCTGTTGAGAGTTTCACTAGAATTCCATTTAGTTCATAGCCAATTTTGGAGGAGAATTGCTGTCTTTATAATACTGTCTTATTTTATACAAAAATTATGTTTTATTTTCATTTATTTATGACTTCTTTAATGATCTTTAGTAATATTCAGTAATTTTATAAGGAGTAAGTTTGTTGTAGTCCATATTTTATGCATTATTTAGAAAAGCATATGATTTCTATTTCAATTTCACTTTTAACCATGTTGTATGAAAATTATTTCATTTTACATATTAATATTTTATGTAGTAACTTTAATGAACTTTTATTTCTAAAAAAAGACACAAGTTGGCGTGAATATACTTTGTATACAACAAGAAATATGAAAAATTATGCTCTATATGCGTAATGAGAATTATAATGCATTCTGCTGTCATATATAAATAAAAAATT